TCTTCTCTTATTCGCTCTACTCCCCTCTTCGAAGTGGAATTTCATGGCCGTGACGTCATAAACGACCAGGTGGAAATTGCCCGCGAGCGACATCCATCAAGCTCCGTCCCGCCATAGGTATGTGTCACGTGATCGGGGCAAGATGGCGGCAACGCGGGAGGGGAAATGATGCGACCCGGAATTTTGGGTTTTAGGCTCGTGGCGGGGAGATGGTTTGGCTTTCGGGTTTTGCTGCGGTTTTGGTTGGTTGAATGAGGAAGGTTTGGTGGTGGGGTTGGGGGGTGGGTGGTGGGGGGGGTGGGGGGGGTTAGGTTGGTAAAATTGCGCTTTCTGATCGTCTTTTTTTTTGGGGGGGGGAGGGGGGGATAGGGTTTCTCGCCCGACACTTTTAGTTGACATTATTGTTCTTTTTTATATTCGAACATCGTTTTGATTTATTGTGTGGTTTTGATGTTTATTTCCAATATTGTGTACGTATTTTGTACATCCTTACATTGTTTTTTGTTTTTTTGTATTGTGTCATTTTATACGTTTTTTTTTTCTTTCCTTTTTTTGCATATCGTTTAAGTCCCATTTCCCACGCGACCTGAAGCAAATGCCTCGCTCGTTTTGGTTCTTAGTTCGTAGAACTGTTTCAAGAATAATCATAGGTAAAAAATAATAATAAAAAAAAAATAATAATAAATCAGAAGGGGAAATCATAGTTGGCAACTCAGCAGAGGCACGTGGTGGGCAGCTATTGTTGATCCGCACATAGATGGAATTTTAAATTGCTTTTGATCTAATAGCCTTGGCAGCCGACGCGGCACTATTCTCGGGATGCAAGCAAACGTAAGCACAGACCTCGTTTATCAGCCACTTCCTCTTTTCCTCCCTTCCTCTCCTTTCCTTCTTCCTCCCCTTCCCCTCTCCTCCCTTCCTCCTTTCCTCTTCCTCCCTTCCTCCTCTCTTCCTCCCTTCCTCCCTTTCCTTCTTCCTCCCTTCCTCCTCCCTTTCCCCTCTTCCTCTCCTTCCCTCCTTCCTTCTCCTCTTCCTCTCCTTTCCCTCTTCCTCCCTTCCTCCTCCTTTTCCTTCTTCCCTCCCTTCCTCCTTTCCCTCTTCCTCCCTTCCTCTCCTTTCCTCTTCCTCCCTTCCTCTCCTTTCCCTCTTCCTCCCTTCCTCTCCTTTCCCTCTTCCTCCCTTCCTCTCCTTTCCCTCTTCCTCCCTTCCTCTCCTTTCCTTCTTCCTCCCATCCTCCTCCTCTCCTCCCTTCCCTCCTTTCCTTCTTCCTCTTCCTCTCTTTCCTCTCCTCCCTTCCTCTCCTTTCCTCTCTTTCCTTCTCTCTCTAGCACTTTCCATCCACCCCTTCCGCACCTCCCCCTGATCTCATTGTAATTTCATTATACCTTTGATTTTCCCTAGTTTCTACTCTTCTATTTTCTTTTAATTATATATATAATATATATATATATATATATATATAATATATATTATATATATATATAATATATATATATATATATATATATTTCTCTCTCTCTCTATCCATGTATCTATCTATCGCTGCCGTACCACCTCTCTTCCTTATGGCACATTTCCCATTTTCTGTTTTTTCTTTCGCCATTTCCCCTTTCTGTTTGCCGCCTTCCCTCTTCTATCCCCCCCTTTCCCCTTTTCCTCCCTCCGCTCCTCTTCCCATCCCTGCCCTCCTCATGCACTTCCATCCCTCTTCCACCCTCCCTTCCTTCCCCTCCCCTCTCCCTTCCTTTGCTCCCTTCTTTCTTTCTCCCTCCCTCTCCTTTCCTTCCCTTCCCTTTCTACACCTCCTCCCTCCCTCCTCTCGTCTCCCTTTCCTTCCCTTCTCCCTCGCCTCCTCTCCTCCTCCTTCCAACCTTCTTTCCTCCCTTCCCCTCCTCTCCCCTCTCATTTCCTCTCCTCCCTCCCTCCCTTCCCTTCCCTTTCCCCTCCTCTCCTCCCTCTCCCTCTCACTCCCCTTTCCTTTCCCTTTCCCTCTCCTTCCTTCTTCCCTCCTCCTTTTCTCCCTCCTTTCCCTCCCTCTCCTTTCCTTTCCTCCCTTTCTCCGCTCCCTCCCGCCTCTCCCACCTTCTCCCTCCCGCGCGCGACAACTAATCACGTGCGGAAAATGACGTACCGGCGTTGCTATGTATTCCCGGCGAAGGTTATGTCACGTTATTCGCTCCGTGTCGCTCACCTGTCGCGGTTCATTCGGCTGGGAGAGGAGAGGGAGAGTGGGGCGAGGGAGAGGAGAGGGAGGGAGGGAGGGAGGGAGGAGAGGGGAGAGGGAAGAGGGAGGGAGGGAGGGAGAAGGAGAGGGGGAGAGAGAGGGAGGGAGAAGGAAAGTGAGGAAAGTGAGGAGAGAAAGAGAGTGAGTTTGAGGAAGAAAGAGAGAGTGACAGTATGAGGGAGGGAGGGAGAGAGAGAGTGTGAGTGAGTGAGTATGAGACAGAGCGTAAGTATGAGGGAGAGAGAGAGAGAGAGAGTGAATATAAGAAAGGCGAAAGACGAAAGAAGAAAGAAAGACAGAAGGAAAAAGCAAG